CCTAATAACATCCCAATTGAACACAAAGCAAGGAACCTGAACCCAAAAAGGATCTGCAAAGGAGGAGACAATTCACAACTGAACAATCAGAGAAGTTGAGATGAAACTTCATGGCAGTTGAAAACCAAGCCGTTCAAACTTCAAACAACTTAAACCACTAGTACCTTTGCCGTTTCGTTTCGGCAAGTTTTTTTTAGCCTATTCCTGAACTTTTGGGAAGCTGGGCCCGACAACGGCTGCCGTTGATGAATCCGATCAGCGGCCGTCGTCGTATTTCGGTCTCCTGAAAGGTCGAAGGCCCACTATTTTCCGAACCGACAAAGGTACTAGTGGTTAAAAAAAAAAAAAAAACCCTTCAAAAAAGTCACAAGTCATTCAAACAAACTGTTACCCAGAGGGAGTAGTTTCTCCATGTATGTTGCAGATTTCTTTMTTTTGTCTTTAGTTTGTTTTTGCGTTTTTTTTTTTTTTTTTAATAATTTGGGCCATTTCTTGATTTATCACAGTCATCCTTGCGCAGGGGCCATGCGAATCTTCTTCTCAGGATGGTTCCAATTTTAACAGATGCTGCAATAAACTCAGTTCAAAATCCGCAGTGGTCAACTGCAGGGTCGTAAATTTTGGTCAAAGGCCAGAAAGAGGGGTCAACGTCGCGGCCTGAGTCCCTTAGAGCTGTGCGAAAGTCCTTACCTTAGGGTCAAGGGGTACTAGGCCCTGAGTCAAAAGCTGTGTCCAGTACGCCCACCCTGTACAGTTGACTCTTGGAAAATCAAGAGTCAGACCCTGGACGGGAAATGCAGGCCCGAAGTCACAGTCTCCCAGTAGTCAATCATGGCAGTAGATCAGATGCACATCAAAGGTTCTCTGCAGGTTTCCAGAAGATTCCATCAGGAACACGACACATCTGGGACAGCATTGCATCCAGGGCGTCGACTTCAGGAAATCTCGGCCGTAGACACGCTCCAAGAAGCGGCTGGTCAAAACCAGTCAATGCTATAAGAAGAAGACCTGGCCGAGGGGAGACTCATTCTGCCTTGCGCTGATTCGCGGCCAAGTTGCTACGCGTGAAGCTGGCATAGGGAGATGCTAGCATCAGATACTTCTGGAGGGCGCCAGCCTTGTTGGAGGACATGTTGAAGCTGCTGCCACAGCCGCCATAGCCATAGACGTAGGTGATGAGGTTGGGGGAGGAGGAGGAGGAGGATCAGGGCTGTGAGATTGATGAGAGGTGTGAGGGGAAGCTTACCTGGACGTACCTGGCGCCAATGTCATCGATCTGCTGCTGGTCCCCACAAAGGTGAGAAGGAAGGACAGCTCCATCCTCCATAGCTCGTTGAGGACTGTCGAAGGAGGATGGGCTCTCTGTTGAGATATGCACAGTGACTACGTCAGGCATGCATTGCTGAGATGGGGATAGGGGAGAAGCCCGAAAAGGAAGTGGGAACTGAAGAGGGACATGCATGTATTATTGATTATTAATGTAACTCTTCTCCTCCTCCTCTACGTCTCTTCTCTCCTCTACCTCTTCTTCCATGTTCTACTATGATGGTTTGCTACCGCTGATATGAGCATTCAATCGAGATATAGACTTGCAATCATCTTTGAAGTTTTCGTATCCAGCACTGGGTTCAGATTCGGACGACATTGCTGATTGGCTTCTCATCGAGATTGGGTTCATTGCAGATGGCCAGCAAATGCTCGGGACAGGAGTTCGAGGACTAGAATGTACTTACTGATCATCATCATCTTCATATCCTGTCTGTGAGACCCATATCCCTTCATAGTCCAAGATATCATAGACGAGCCCGGTTATTGCGGACCACGGTGGCACTCTTCCAAGCCCCTTCCAGTCCACTCAAAGAAAAAGAAACGCCCATGCTTGTTGCATGGTGTACAAAGGAGCTTCTGCTCATCCGGTTATTACCCTTAGGTCAGGGTTGCATACCCGCCGACCGCTGACCGTATTGCAGCCACCCATTAGGGCCGACGGGTCGACGGTCTGCCGACCAGTCAGAAACAACGATCCACTGATTTTTTTCCCAATCTGAGTTGGGGGCTGTACTGTGCTTGCTGAGTACAGCCCAAATCCACTGAGAAACGTTTGGGGATGAGAGGGGGG